CACTTACATCAGAAATGAAGGCACAGAAAATAAATAATCTAAGAGCCTAATATGATCAGAATCTGAACACATGAATTCACTGACCAACAATCATGTTAACAGAGAGGAATAGAGCTGAAACAAGTGGTTTAATAACGCATAGATATAATCCATGCTCACAAATTTCTGTTATTAGAAGGGTTAGTATATAATATGTATATAATATAATATAATATAATATAATATATATATAATATGATAATGTGGCATCACTTCACACCTGAATGAACTGAATTTAAAGCTCTAGGACAATTCAGTTATATTCTTTTTTCTAAAATGAAGTACTTAATTTTAAGATAAACATTTTTCAAAAGCTTTCTGTAATGTTTTTTATTTTTAAATCCAGCCCTTATTGTAATTGAAATGAGAGAAGAACATATATTTATTATTAGAGTATTTATTATATATAATTCATCCAGTTCAATATGAAAACTTACGATAAATATTGTTGAGATATTATTCAATTGAACTTTCTTTATTTGATTTGACAGTCAGTTGTTGACTACATACAGACGTTAATACAACTGTTGGCTACTTCAATAATTATGGGACTAAATCAAGCAAGTTAGACATTGTGATGTTCCGGACCACTGCATAAGGAAATTCTTTCAAACTGGACCCAGTTGAATATTAATTGAATGGCCCTGCCTTAGAGTGCCTTTCAGTACAATTGAACGCTGACAACGCTGTGGTAGAGACCTGTCAATCAAAAGGTAGTCCCGCCCTAAAGCATAGCCTGCTTTATGGTCTATTTGACTAAATCAGGGGTCTCAAAATAATTTTCACTCCGGGCCACATCAGCATCATGGTCGTCCACAAAGGGCCGGTTGTAAATATAACTACTCGTAACATATTGTTAAATAACTGTCTCTGCATTTGATTATTGTTTATTCAAGTGTAAAAATATTGTACATGCAGTTATATAAATGTAAAAATATATTTAAGCACATTTCTGTTATTATAACTTAAATCCTTTTAATTTAGGGTTAAGAAACCCACATTACTCTATCAAAGATCAAACTATTAAATAAAATAGCAAAGACAAATATCAAACAAGTTATTACAATAACTTTGTTCAATGCTTAAAATCCTTTCAAGGTCATTGAAAGTCATTGAAAGTCATTTTCTCATAGACTTCTATACAACCAGAGGAGTCGCCCCCTGATGGACATTAGAGAGAATGCAGCTTTAAGACATGAAGCTTTGGCTTTACTCTTCAGAATCCGAGGTTGCTCCTTGACCTGCTATAACAAACAATAAGCACGTAAACTTAAGCCAGTAAATGTCAGCCTGGACGTGGAATTAAATTCACTCAGCTGCTAGTGCATCAGGTTGACCGATCTAACGCGAATGCAGTCTAATAAACAGTCCTGCAATCAATGAAGGTCATGTTCAGCTTTTATTGAAACTTTTAATGTTCATTTTGAGGCTCCAGTTTGTGTTGCCGTTGAACTGTATTGCATTATACAAACAAGTGTGTCTGTTATGTAATCTATCCTGTCTGATATAAATGGGGAAGACAAAATAATAGAAACACTGTCAGTACAACAATACAATTCAACAGCACCACAAACTACAGCCTCCAAATGAAACAAAAGGTTGAGTCAGCACATCTCTAAAACAGATTCAACTTTAGAAACTTCATGAGGAAGGATGAAATGCACAAGAGTTGTTTTAGACTGCATTAGTTTTAGCTAGGAGTACTTAATAAACTGGCAACTTAATGTATGTCTATAACTTTGACGTTTCATCCACTTTATACAAAAGTGCATTCAGTACTGGATAAATGGGCTGCTCTTGTTTCTAGAGAAGAGTCTGCAAGGCAACAAATAGTGGAAAAAGCAACCCTCTGTGAAGCCACTGTATTTATATACACACAGTGAGCTTGTTATGTGGGGCTGTAGGTCAATGAGGCTGCTGGTTAATGAGGGGGAGCTGGGATCAAACTGCAAAAGACAACATGTGCGTTAAACCGTTATTCCTGCTGCTTGGCTGCTCGAGCTGCAGCACGCACACACACACAGATACGAATACACACACACGCACACGCATATACACAAACACGCACACACAGACACACACTCTGCGTCTTTGGGTCACTACGTCCTATAGGCCATATGGACATGATGGACAGTGTCCGTTGGGATAATGGTTCAAGTTGTCTGTAGAGAGAGAGATGAATCTCAGACACATGTCAGAAGAGTCTCACTGTGATTTGAATGTTTCAGTGTTCATTTGAAACCCTGCCATTGAAGAGCCATACAGATAAAGCACACATGACATGTAGTGTTAAAGCACTTTGAGTGGTCAGAAGACTAGAAAAACGCTTCACAAGTAGAGTCCATTTACCAAAGTGAGAACACTGCCAGGACAGACACTGAAGCTTCACTGGCCTTACAATTCCATTACAATTCACCTGTCAATGATTCTCAATGCATCTAAATGTATTGCAACAATTTTCTATACTACTGTGCACTTTTTCAAAAATGATAGTAGTTAGAACTCTGACAGACAGTCATCTGAACTCCCTTTTTATTTAAAAAGTGCCTTCATAAATCCGTTTACAGCAGTCTATTATATGAAAAGCTGGATCTTTTCAATACCAGTATCTGTGTTAGCCTCCTCAGAACACAAACGTTACAAAACATTCATCCTTCTGCGGTGCATCACAAGTGTGCTGTAGTTTTCACATAGCAGCTCTGAGACAGGGCCCGTCCTGAATGCCTATGGCATTGTACACTGCATGGATTAGCCAAGTGGACTTGTTCTGACTCACAGCTCTTCTACTCTTACTTGTTTTAGTTACTGCATCTCCTGACAGGGTCAACATTTCTACGCTTGAATTTCAGCCTGCACGCACCTTTCAGCCCAACATTGTTGAATCAGAGAAGCTAATATTGGCGAGAGAAAGAAGCTAGCGGACTGCCAAGTGCTCGCTGTTCTGTATGAAAGGTTGATCACTGGCTCCGCAAGTGATTGCGGCGCTTGGTTGTGCACCTCTGAATTTTGTAAATTGGCGCTTGATCACGTCACCAATAGCTAACTGATAAAAGCACTATTTACTTGTCTAGGGATTACACAAAGAAGACAAATTCGTTTTTCAATCCTTCCGAAACAGGCGGTCTAAAAAAAAATCTTCATTTGAGTAAATATTTTGCAGCCAAATCAAATAGTTTACATGAGATTCAACCTTTGTTTCTTTATAATGCTTTTAATACTTGTCTTCTTTACAGTTTTTGTACAAAGACAATTAAGTAGGCCATGAATATAAGAAACGAGTTTACAGATAATTACAATCCCTCCTCATCATTGTGGAGGTTGGTTTATGGCTTTTGACGGTTACACTTTCAGTCTATGGCCATATCTATGGGTTACACTGGTTTTCTTTTTGATTCTTCACAGTTGATTTTGTTTGTATGCCCTCTGGTGTTTTGGAGAATAATGCGCCGCACAGTGCAGAGAGTATAAATGCCTCCGTTCATGCTCGGAGCTTGCGCTTAGTCTGCAGAGGCTCACGCTACGGCGCCAAGCGCAAGTTTAAGGTCACTCAATTTCACATGACACACAAAATACAGCATTTGGACCAAATGCTGAAAATGGCAAAGCTTGAAATATTGACTCTGACCATAAATGGAATATTAGTGTTAATGTTCTTTGTGAACTGTAGCTGCCATGGAGCCTGTAGAGCACATGCATGTGTGCCATGACCTTCTTTTCATCATTTTAACCCCGCCATCTTGCAGCACCTTGCTGCACAAACACACACACACACGCCCCCCCCCCCCCCCCCCCAGCATGCCATCCTCCTTGTCTCATTAAGTTGTCTGTCTGTTTTCATTACTGTGCAGATG